AAGCGACTTCTGCCGAGTTTGAGCTGGTCAACGGCCTGCTGTTCCTTGAGAAGGCTGGGAATAAATGTTTGTGCGTGCCTAAGTGGGAGTCTTTGCGTAGTTTATTTTTAGGTGAGTGTCACGATGCCACATGACATTTTGGCTATAAAAGACTGCAGCCAACTTGCTGCAGCAGTTCTGGTGGCCCACAATGATGAGAGACGCCAAGCTGTACGTGGAGACTTGTCAGGTCTGTCAGAGGGACAAGCCACGTACAGAGGCCCGTCTTGGGCTTCTCAAGCCTCTTCCGATACCGGAAAGGCCCGGTGAGAGCCTGTCCATGGACTTCATGGACACGCTGGTCACCAGCAAGAGTGGAATGCGATATGTCTATGTCATTGTGGATAGGTTTAGCAAGTATGCTAGGTTAGTAGCAATGCTTGCAACAGCCAAGACCGAGTACGTGATTAAGCTGTTCAAAGAAAACTCGGTAAGGGACTTCGGTTTGCCAAAGTCTATTATTAGTGACCGGGATGTGCGATTCACCAGCGAACTTTGGAAGGCCGCAGCTGCAGAGCAGGGAACCCAGCTGCAGATGACCTCCGGCAACCACCCAGAGGCAAACGGGCAAGCAGAGCAGCTGAACCGCGCTGTTCAACACCTCCTGAGGCATTACATCAAGCCCAATCAGGTGGACTGGGATGAGAAACTTGCTCTCATCGCCAGTCTGTATAACAACACCGTGCACAGCGCAACAGGGGTGAGCCCCAATGACCTGCTACCGACTTTCAAACCTAGACTGCCCTTAGATTTTCTACTACCTGAGAATCAGCCTTCTGCTGCACCAGGCACTTCAAAATTCGCTTATCGATAAGCTGTAGAACAGATGCACAGGGCGCAGGCGGCGATGATAGAATCTGAGAACAAGCACCGTCGCCCATCCACATTTCAGGTAGGGGACAGAGTYTGGGTCAAGTCCTCAGAACTGGGCCAGGAGCACGGGATCTCCCACAAGTTCATGCCACGGTATTTTGGACCCTCGGAGGTTCTAGATATTGTCGGGATGATCTGGATGGACCTTCGTATGTAATTCAGATCCCTGGTCACCTTTGCACTTACCCTATCTTTCACGCTTCTAAGCTTGCACCATCCAAGGAAACTGATCAGTTTCCCTCGCGGCGCTCAATGCTGCCCCCAACCATGGATGGCGAGGTCGACATCGACGACATCGTGGACCACAGGGAAATGCCAGTTCCAAGACCGACAGGCAGAGGACGTCCTCCTAAACCGCAGCTGCAATATCGCGTTCGGTTTAGACATCACATTGATCCTGAGGAGGACAGGTGGTTTACCCGGGATGAACCAATGCAGACCGCTCCACAGGCTGTCGCTCACTACGAGAAGTTACTGCAGAAAGGAAAGCGCCAGATTGAGTAATGGAACTTCTCAGAGGACTGTCGAAGTATGGAGGAGGGAATGCGAGGCACAAGGCCCCGATGAGCCCCTTTGACCCTGCAAGCAGCACTGTCGGCCGCCCTTAGTGAAGGCAGGTCCGACAAGGCCTATTTTCAGGCTACCACGCAACTGGGGGAAATTCAGGCAGTTGCGCAGCGCCAGTTGGTTGAGAGCGCCCAGGCCCTGACTTCCTTTTTCGTAAGTAACTGAGGCAGGCCCTGGGCCAGATACACAGCATGGGCCGAACCCAGGCTGCGGGCAGTTGGGCACAAGCAACTGTCACAGGCCCTGGGCCTGACTCGTTAGGACCGGGGCTCAGCTTGTGAGCCAAGGCCCAGCACAGCCTGGCCGCACTCAGCTGGCAGGGCACTTCCATATAGAAAAGGACCTGCCCCCGCATTCGGCATTTGGGCAATGGCTGCCTGCTGCGCAAGCACTGCTGCGCTAAACGCTGGCCAGCGCTCACGCGCTCACGGGCGAGCTGGATGAGCAGGCAGCCATAGCCGAGCTGCGCTGCACTATGCTGGATGGGGCGCATGGTGGTCCTTGGGTGCATGTGGCATCTGTGTGTGGGGGATCGAGGTTGTGAGTGATACGAGAGACATACCTGGTGCTTGAGGCGAATGACATTGGCGAAGATCTGCTCGTACTTAGGGGAGCTGTTGACGTCACCAGCGGCATTGTAGATAGGCTAGATAGGATCTGCCATTTGTAGTGTGGGCGCAGAGCGCCAGATAGGATGTCGACA